AGTCCTGTTTAAGCCTTTTTAAAAAATATTTTATTTATTTATTTTTTCTTTTTGTCTTTTTTGAGACAGGCACTTGTAGCCCCAGCTGGCTTCGAACTCACAAAGATCCGCCTGCCTCTGGCCTCCCAAGTGTTGGGATTAAAGGCATGCGCCACCACACCCGGCTTTATTTATTATTTTAAATATTATTTTAAATTATTTAATATTATTTTAAATAATGAGTGTTTTGTTTGCATGTAGGTCAGTGCACCCCATGTCGTGCAATGCCCATAGAGGTCAGAAGAGGGCGTTGGATCCTCTGGAACTGGAGTTACAGACAGTTGTTAGCTGCCATGTGGGTGCTGGGAATTGAACCCAGGTCCTTTGCAAGAGCAGCCAGTCCTCTGAATTGCTGAGCCATCTCTCCAGCCTGTTTAAGACTTTTTAAAGTTGTTAATAATGCTGAAAAAAATTCCATTTCTTTGTTATTTTGTTCATTTTATTCTTCAAACTAGAGCTTCCACCAAGGTTGTTCAGAACATAAACATTAATAAGCTCTGGGCCTGATATGTACAGGCTCCTTGGGAAGAACAAAGAGGAACACAATTACTTACCCAGAGGCAAGGAGACACAAAATCTGATTCCTCACTAGTCCCTTCCTAGGGATGTTTTTTTCTAATAACTAATCAAAAAATCAAATGTAAACTAGTAGCAAATCCAAAGGCCAACTATGAGCTAGCTTTTTCTTCTCCCCAATTCTGCTATATGCATCACCACTGCTTTCTCTAGAGCCATGGAGGTCACTCAAAGGGGCAATTAAGGAATGGAGCTCATTAACTATACCCTTCTACATAGAAGCTCTGGAATACAATTAGTAGTAACACTGGGACACTGGGACAGTCTCACAGACAAATTGCTCCCAGCACCAGAGCGCGGCCCAGCTGGTGAGACGCTCAGAGCACAGGAACAGACAGCATCATGCCCTACAAAGGGGATTTCTGGATCACCTTGGGAAGAAGAGTCTGGAGGAGATGCGAATGACACAGATGACAAACTGTGACTCATCCCTCTTGTATTTTAAGTAATAGACGACTGAATTCTTTTTTTTAACTGGCAAAGAAACCACAAAAGAAAACTGGGTAGGGAGGTGAAGATTCCCAAATGCTTCTGTTTCATAACATGAACAAATGTTATAAATTCCTTTGCATATACCTAATATTACTCAAAAGTAAAAAAAAAAATTTAGGAGGAAAAGGATTGGTTGAATACCTAGGAGTGCTGCATGCACAACCTGAGTTCAAATCCCTAATCCACTTAAGAAGCCAGGCAGGCATGGCTGTGTGTGCTTGTTATACCAGTAGTAGGGGCAGAGACAGGTGAATCCTGAGAGCTCACTGGCCGCCAGCCTAGCTCAAATGGTGAGCTTCCACTTCAGGAAGAGACCTTACCTAAGGTAATAAGGTGAAAAGCAATAGAGGCAGACACCATCCTGCTCTGGCTCCCCGATCGCAGACCCAACAGACAACACAGACACAGACACACGCACATGCATGCACGTACCCGCACAACAGGAGAGGTGGACACATAATGAGAAGTCTTCTACAGCACAGGACCAGCTCTCATGGTCACCCAGGAGCTATCTCAGCACCACTTTCAGTGTTTTGTTTTCTCTTTCTTCTCTGCCATAAATTCACCCTGAATTATCCCTGAAATTGTTAGCTGTCCCAAGGTATCAGTTATCTCATCACCCCATTTCCATACCCTGTTTTGATTCAATTAGTCTTCTACCCAGTAACAGTCATCTTTAAGCATCTTACTGGCATAATTACCTCACAATCAAATCAAATTCATTCATTCATTCCTCCCTCCCTCCCTTCCTCCTTTCTTTCTTTAAACAGGATCTCCCTGTAGCCTCAGCTGCCCTGGAACTTGCTATGTAGATGAGGTTGGCCTTGAACTCAGAGATCCACCTGCCACTGGAGTACTTTGGATAAAAAGCATGTGCCACCACACCCAGCATTTTTCTCTTGAAAAAAATAATTTATTTGGGGGCCGGAGAGATGGCTCAATGGTTAAGAGCAACTTCTAGAGGACCTGGGTTCAGTTCCCAGCAACCACATGGCAACTAACAACCGTCTGTAGCTCCAGTTCCAGGGGCATCCAACGTCCCCTTCTGATATCCTTGGGCATTGCAAAACCCGGGTGCACTTAAATACATGCAGGCAATATACTCATAAACATAAAATAAAAATAATAAAATTTAAAAATAAAGCAAAATAAGTTTAAAAAACTGATTCCAAAGCAGCCTCTCTTGCAATTACCCCTCCCCACCATTTTAATAAAGAACAAATCAATAAAGACATTAAGGGGTCTTAAGATAACGCATTTAATAAACACTGAGATTCTACTATACCAGGCACAAAAATAACTATCTCTGCGGGGCTGGAGAGATGGCTCAGGGGGTTAAGAGCACTGACTGCTCTTGCAGAGAACCCGGGTTCGAGCCCCAGCATCCGCATGGCAGCTATGAACTGTCCTTAACTCCAGTTCCAGGGGAACCTGAAGCCCTCTTCTGACCTCCACAGCATTGCACGACATGGGTGCACTCACATACATACAGGCAAACACTCATACACATAAAATAAAAATAAATTTTTTTTTTAAAGTATCTCAGCTGGGCGTGGTAGCACATGCCTTTAATCCCAGGACTCGGGAGGCAGAGGAAGATGGATCTCTGTGAGTTCAAGGCCAGCTTGGTCTACATAGTGAGTTCAGGTCAGCTGGGACTACAGGGAGATACTGTCTCAAAAAGACCAAAAAAAAGTATCTCTTCAAGGCACATATCCTGCTGGGCACATCTGCTAGGCAGGGTACATAACACTGGGATTTTTAAAGGGGGAATGGTATAGGAGGCACCTGTTGGGCTCTGTTACCTGAAGAGATGTTGCCATTTCCACTAGAATTTACCTGTGTTTGTACATAAGTATGCATATATTTATTAACAAAGCACAATCTTCTAATTGGAAAATGGTTTTTCTGTCTGTAACACCTTGTTAGGCACTTTCACACACAATGTGTTCTATAACCTAAAATTACCCCAGGAGGTAGTGGTTTCAGTACTCTTGTGGAAGGCATTTTGCATACTGCCTGGCTCATAAGTGCTTAAAACACGGAGTTGATGGCTGTACCTAGACAACAAGCCCAAGTCCAAGGAGGAGATGTGCACTTCTCGAGCATGCAAGTGAGAAAAGAGGCAGAAAGGGGTGGGAGCTTTCTTGGGAGAAGTCCTGTGTGTTTTTTCTCATCGGGCATTCTGCAGAAGTCACCCCAACTCCGACCCAACTCCCTCACTCTGGCTGCCCCATCTCACAGTGGCTGATTCTGGACTGCTTCAAGGGAGTTCCTACCCATGCAAGAACCCTACTCAGGAGCTCCAGTCTTGACCTCATGCTATTAGGAGGCATCAGATTCTTGGCACCCCATGTTTCAAAAGCTGTCCCCGGCCGGGCATGGTGGCAGCACTTGGGAGGCAGAGGCAGGTGGATCTTTGTAAGTTCGAGGCCAGCCTGGTCTACATAGTGAGTACCAGGACAGCTGGGGCTACAAGGAAACCCTGTCTCAAAAAGACAAAAAAACCCAACCAAACAAACAAAAAAACAAAGCTGTCCCCATGATGCTCCATTTATTACTTGAAATGTTTGTACTGAGTCCAGCAATCAAGAAGACTAGTAGCAATAGAAATAGTGTAATTGTTAACAAAGGTTTTAGCACAGGCCAGCACCCCATTATAGACTCCACATAAATTGTTCTCATGAAATCTCTACAGCATTCTGAAGTAGGTGCCACCACCACCTACTTTACAGACAAGAAAAGGTGGCACAGGTTAGGTAACTTGTCCAATGTTACATAATCAGCAGGTGGAGGGCTGGAATTAAAGTCAAGCTCTTAGCTACCACCCAATGTAGATGATTTGGTCCCACTATCATGTGGGTATCACAAAACAGGGCCTGGCAGCAGGCAGACCCAGTGAGTACTTCATTGATGAATGAGCAGTGTGAACACTCCACACTCAGGAAGGAAAGGATATGTCACACCAGGTCTATTCTGCCTTTCCCAGCTTATCATCTGCCCCCACCCTAGTATCGCATGGTGTCTTGAAACAGTAGACTGAAAGTTGAGCAAGATGCTCAAGGAACTGATCCTGCATGATTCCTGTTCTCTAACAGGAGGGCCTCGTGTTTCACAATTACTTTGTCAACAAAGTCAGGCACAAACCATTTCACCTGAACTGTACTCCTGGGGGCAGAGTCTACAAAGGAAAGGATCCCAATCTCCATCAGTCCTTAAACCATTTCATAAAAATGAAAGGCATCAAGAATCTACCATCTTCCATTCATTATCACACCCCACATCTCCCTAGCTCACCCTAGTGGTCAAAAACATAAGCAACGCAGATTATCTCTTTAAAAATATTTTGTGTGAGAGTGTACTGCCTGCATGTGTGCAAGTGCACCCGTGTCGTGCAATGCCTGAGGAGGTCAGAAGAGGATGTCAGATCCCCTGGAACTGGAGTTACAGACAGTGTTAGCTGCCATGTGGGTGGAAAAGCAGGTTATTAAATCATATACAAGCCTCCACTTATTGTGGAGGTGGGAAGCTTTTGCAATGTGATGATTATTAAGAACTTCACAGCAGGGCAAACTCTAAAGAGACAGGTATGGGGGAAAGGTGAGCAGGGGTCTCCCCATCCTGTCCCTGTGGTTGCCCAGGATGGAAGTCTTTGTTTTCCAAAGTTTTCGCATTCCTGTAACCTTTGTGGTCATGTTATCTTGCTTAATTATCACATGTACCTTTCACTTAATTGTCACCTATGGGCTGTTTTGCCTTTTGTTTGCATTTCCCCACACGAGTATAAAAGCCCCCCAAAACTTGAAGAAGAGGTCTGACTCCTTTATTCGTGGGATCAGTCCCACTAGTGTCAAATTCCACTAGTGTCAAATTATTAAACTTCCTCTCCTCACCTGACATCAGCGTTGGTCTCTGATTTTTCCATAACATTTCTGGAGGCCCCAGCGAGATCAAGTTGCTGTACCCTCATTGGTATAGAGGCTGCTGCTCCTGGACCCTGCAAGCCCCCTCGGCCCCTGGAACAGAGAAGTGTGCACCCCTGAAGAATTTCCTCTGGGGTCTCCTTCCAGGAGGCCAGAGAGAGCTGCATAGCCCCGAAATAGAGCATCTCATCAGGTGAAGTGAGACGGAGACCCAGAATGGACGTCCAGACCAGGTAATGGGCCCCAGGTTAGACACATGGAAGCTGGTGCAGGCTGATCCCCCACAGGAGGCTGCATACGAAGTCTTGATATGATTCCAAGATGGCACTGGCCTCCAGTCAGGAATGAAGGGGACCACAACTAAATCTCGATGTAATTCTGAGGTGCTGGCCCCATTTAAGGTAAAACAGGAATCAGGAATCAGGCAGCAAACCGAGCCCAGTTTAGGCAGAACAGGAATTTAGTGGTAATAACTAGGGAACAACTGTCTTAAACTCTAAATGATTGTGCATGAATGTAAGAGTGAAAGTAATGGTTCCACGGCTCTTCGAGGCCACAGAATCTGACTAGGCCTCACCCTGCAGTTCTGCTGAGGTTGTGTAACCTAAAAGGGCACTCACCTTCAGGTGATGGAGCACGGGGATTAGATGTGTGGCCTTAAGGTAAGACCTCTTAAATCACTGAGAGGTGGCCAGCCAGGAAGGTATCTGAATGAGGGAGACTAACACTCTCTATCCCCTCCTATGCACAAATTACATACATCCTAGGCACATACAAAATTTTAGATGGGTTCCTCCCAGTCCAAGTATCAGACCCAGGCTGCCCTCCAGGTGATGCTGGACAACTTTAAACTAAGCTATGCAGGAAAGTATGGCATTATGACAAAACCCTCCGCTGGGCGTGGTGGCGCACACCTTTAATCCCAGCACTCAGGAGGCAGAGACAGGCAGATCTCTGTGAGTTCAATGCCAGCCTGGTCTACATAGTGAGTTCCAGGACAGCTGGGGCTACAGGGAGACCCTGTCTCAAAAAGACCAATGTGGCCCTAAGATAAGACCTCTTAAAATACTAAGAGGTACTCTCCAGTCCTCCTATGCACACATTACGTACATTCCGGGCACATATAAAATTTCAGATGGGTTCCTCCCAGTCCATGTCAGACCCAGACTGTCCTCCAGGTGATGCTGGACATCTTTAAACTAGGCTATGCAGGAAATTATGGCATTAAGATCAAACCCTCCACCTTTGAACTTAATGTGAAGTTGAGTGACTTGATATCAGGTCATACTGAGTAAGAAACCCTGAGTCTGGACAGATGCTACCTGAACCCTAAAACCCAGCCTATGAGGAGGGAGAACTGCCCCATAGCTATGAGATTATGGAGGAAGTGTTCTCCTCCTGCCCAAATTTTTTAAAGATGAGTGTCTACACACAAAGGACCATCCTAATCAAACTCCTTGATTTTTGTGTTTTGGGTGCACCTAGTTTGCATGGATTTATGCTATGTATGTCTACAATAGTCATTTCCATGTGTTTGAGATTTCATGTAATTATGTCAGGTATGTCTATAAATTTCTCGTGTATTGAGATCTCATGTAATTGTCATGTGTATCTGTGATCACTGTCTTCATGTTTTCATCAAAATAAACTGGCCACTTCAGTTATTCATTTGTTTATTTTGCACAAAACTTTTATTTTTGCTTTATTTTGGCATGCCTAATTAAAATACACATGCAGATTTATAAATATGGATATTCTGATAGTGCATTCAAAGGCCTTATAAATTTGGGTACCCTAAACATCTTTAAATCTATTAGACAATGTCTCTAGGTCTATTATCTGTTTCACAAAACTTTTAAGTGTTATTTGTTTATGCAAAACAGTATCTGAAGCTGGGTGTGGTGGCACACACCTTTAGTCCCAGGACTCAAAAAGCAGAGGCAGGCAGATCTCTGTGAGTTCAAGGCCATGCTGGTCTGCATAGTGAGTTCCAGGCCAGCTGGGGCTACAGGGAGACCCTGTATCAAAAGAATAAGAAAAACAAACAGTATCTGAGCTGGTTGTCTAAGGACCTTATTTGTTACATACCTTTTGGTTTGGGTTTGCTTTCATAGTGTTTGTTTTAGAGTATCTCTTTGGTTTGCTCACTTTGGAAGTATTTTGGTTTTGACATTCTTGGTCTGTTTGTGTTGCTTTCAGACCTCTAAAGGTCTGAAAATGGTTTGAGAATTAAACTCCAGTTGGTTATAAGTTTGATTTAATATGTTAAGTCACCTTCGGAGCTGGAGATAAATTCTGGGACTGGTCTTCCTGTTTCATCCTGCTGGCCTTGTCCTTTCTCCCCTGTTCCTGCAGCATGACTCTGTATGCAGGCAGATGTGGCCTGTTTGGGGGAGGTGCACATTTCATCCCTGGAAACTCTGCTGGCTTAGATGTGGCTCTGTACTTTTCTCTTTTGGAGATACTCTTGCCTTTAACTCTCATGTTTAAGTCTGCACTGAATTGCCTTTATACCAGCTATTGATAAAACTCCCAACAGCAACTAAAATCAGGAATCTTAGTTTGGCTTGAATGGAGGTCTCTGATACCTGGAAGACCTCTGCCAGGCTCCTAGAGATGGACACAGAGCAGCGGTGCTTTTGTTTCTCTAGCTAGAGGACATCTGGGTTAGAGCTAGTAGCACATGGCTTCTTCTGGGGTATCTTGTAAGAATGGCCTGAACCAGTCTCTTGCCTCCAGAACAGCCTGGGACAAAAATGAGACAACTACAATGTATTTAGAATAACTACTTATAGACATTATTATGTTTATCTTATAGAAATTACCATGTACTTTTATGCATACACTGAACAACCTCTAGACATCTCTGAGAATTAGCTCATAACTGTTCACTACAGTGTATCTTCTTAGACTCTGGCAATGATATGATTTTATTTCCTTAACAATGTTCCCCCGCCCCACACACACCTTTTCCTCATAGAAGGCAAAAGACCACCCTGAGGCTGAGCTGTTGCTGTCACAGATCACCAGCCCTGTAGACTTGGCTTGCTGGCGCCTCTGACCCTGTGTGCTGTGCTCTTGTGCTTTCACCTCTCGTTCTTTCTAAGTTCCTGCTCGCTACTGTAGGAGTTAACTGTAGACAGCTGTAATCCAACCATACTCATGAAAATTGTTTTCTTTATACTCTATGCTTTTGGTATTGTCAATCTTAAATGGTCTTTAATAATAGACTGATTCAGGGGCTGGAGAGATGGCTCAGTAGTTAAGAGCACTGACTGCTCTTGCAGAGGACAGAGGTTTGAGTCCCAGCACCCACATGGTGGCTACAAACCATCCTTAACTCCAGTTCCAGGGGAATCCGAAGCCTTCTTCTGACCTCTGAGGCATTGCATGACATGGGTACACTCACATACATGCAGGCAATACACTCATACACATAAAATTTAAAAAAATATATTGATTCTGTATTACCTTATTAAGACTAAATAATTTGTGCTGGATAGCTTTAGTGTCAACTTGGTTGAGGGAGCCTCAATTGGGGAATTGCCTTCATTGGACTGGCTTGTGGCCATGTCCATGGGACACCTTCTTGATTGTTGAGTGATGTGGGAGGGCCCAGCCCACTGTGGGTGGTGCCACCCATGGGCAGGTGGGCCTGTGTTGCATAAGAAGGCTGAGCAGGGGCCAGAGGGGCAAGCCAGTAAGCAGTGATCCTCCATGGCCTGTGCTCTAGCTCCTGCTTCCAGGTTCCTGCCCTGAATTCCTACCTTGGGCTCCCTGATGAACTGTGACATGGGAGATGTAAGATAAATAAACCTTTTCCTCCCCAAGTTGGTATTGGTCAAAGTATTTTGTCACAGCAATGAAGAAAAACAAACTAGGACAATACTTCTTACTATCCCATTCTTTATCCTCTCATTTTATGGAATTGTCTTTAATGAAAACTAAACATTAGCTTGTTTTAATCATACTGTAACTTCTGACTATGGTTAGCTTTGAGTGGAAATGAAATATGTAATTCTGTTTTCCATCATTTGTTGAGTCTGAAACCCAGTTAGAAATATTTACCGTATTAAAATGTAAATGGTATTTCTGAACATGCTTTCTTCAAGTGAAAGCCCTTATGTCTAGCATCAGTATGTATGGCTTTGTTCAGCACAGCCATTTTGAGATGAAAGTCTCATGTGTGTGTGTGGATGTATATGTAAAGTATTGCTGGTTTTTAAGAATTTCTTTTACATACGTCTGATCAGAATTTCGTCAAGGTAATCGGTTTTGGTTTTGAAACTGGTTTGTCATGACCTTGTGTCTAACCACAGTATTTATTGTATGAGACTGTTGTGAATGTGTAGACTTATGTTTAATACTAAGGGAACAATTATTAAATAATGTACTAGATATCAAATTGACTTGTAAGTTCTCTTGTAAACTGAAATAGTTAAATTACAACATGGTTCCCATTAAAAATATAAATTAACTTTAAGGAATGATTGTTTCTGCTCCAGGGTGCAATTTATCTCTGCGTTAAGATACGTTTTATATAGAATAAACATTTTCCAAGTCCATGTTAAACATCTCTAAACTTTTAAAAGGAGACTTGGTCATTTAAAACCTGCTTCAAGGGCATCTCAAAGTTTATACACTGTAATAATATATTTAAGATAATTGGTTCATCTCTCTATAAGGCGAAATTGTAATTACTTGGTAAATTTGTTTATAAATGTTATAAAGAGTTTACAACAGTATGAGCAGGGTTATAGCACAGTCTCCTTCAATGATGATGCTGGAGGTTGTGTACCAGTTTGCTTCTCTTTACCTTGTGTTTATAGACTTTCTTCGATAGACTAATCCCTGAACTACACGAAGTAAAAGATTTTAATGGTTTTGTGTTTTCTATAAGGTCTACCTGGGAACTTAAAGCACAGTGTGTACATGAGTAATGTTAACTCACTATGTTACCTTAATATATGTAATTTGAATTCCACGTTCTTTTAATAAGATGATGCTGCAGAGCACTCTTCTGAGTCAAAGCACTACCATCTTCATGATTTCAGCTGTGCCTGCCTGCAAATGGTCATCACAATTGGGCTTGCTGACGGTTCTATTCCTTCATTAAAAGGGAGATAAACAGGGTCATTGGAATCTCATCTGAGTATCCAGCCATTTTTCCCAGCCAGGTGTATGTAATTCTGCCCTAACTGCAAATGGTTTCCTGAATTTAAAAAATACTATACTAGTAAAAGACTTATATATAAAAATTAAAATAAGAGGATTATTTCCAGAATAGAAGGGATAATGAAGTTCATTTTAGGAAAACTTATTAAAGGTCTGAATAGGTTTATGGAGATGCACAGTTGTTAATTTTCAGTCCACTCCTGGCTTGTACGCACGCTGGGGTACAGATTTGGATTAAATGGGTGCAGACAAGTACTGGGTGACCTATGGCTACTGAACGATGTCTTTTATGTTTCTCTGTATTACGAAAATGTTACTTTTGGCACTTTCTTTTGCCCATAACAAGAATGATTTGGCTCAAGAAAAACTAGGTCTACTTCCTTGAACCAGATGTATACAATCTAGAAAAATCAGTTCCGGTGAAGCTTTGTCTGAATTCTGATTAGTTTACTTCCTGTCTATAGGTATGTGATATGATTGATGCCTCCCTTCCTTCTGAAAACTGTAAATCAGGGTATGGGAAACCAGAAAGGAAAAGAGACTGCTTCTGTTTATAACAGAACAGCCTTCACTTGAGACAGACCAAAGCAATTCTTGTTTCAAAGTCCCTTTCCTAGGCTATGCCTAATTAACTTGTGATAGCAAATCTCCTCCAGTCAATGTTCATTTGAGAACATTTGGGTTTTGTCCAAGCTTTATCCATATATTACACAGTAATTAAAGGTACCAGATTGGTGCAACTGACCCTCTTAGATGGTTAATAACCATACTTAAAAGTCCATACTGGGCTAGAGAGATGGCTCAGCAGTTAAGAACACTGGCTGTTCTTGCAGAAGACCCGGGTTCAAATCCCAGCACCTATATGGCAGCTAAAACTGTCTGTTAACTCCAGTTCCAGGGGATCTGACAGCCTCTTCTGTCCTTGGTGGGCACTGCAGGACATGGGTGCACTTACCTACATGCAGGCAATACACGCTTACACAGAAAATAAAAATAATAAAGTATTGCTGAGTGTGGTGGCGCACACCTTTAATCCCAGCATTCTGGAGCCAGCCTGAATGGTGGATCTCTGTGAGTTCAAGGCCAGCCTGGTCTACATAGTGAGTTCCAGGATAGCTGGGGCTACAGGGAGACCCTGTCTCAAAAAGACCAAAAAAAAAAATAGCCCATACTAATCTGCTCAAAGGGGCTTAAGGGACAGTTTTGTTCCTTTCCCTCAAAGGTTGACTGTGTCTCAGGGGACTATAGGAATCTATTGATATGTCCTGTAACTGTGATGAGTCACCTGTCCTCTTGTTCAGGGAGGTCATGGAGACCCCACCAGAGGGACTCAAACCAGTGTCCAGTCTGCAAAGAGGAGGGTCAGCACAGGAAACATTTCCTCCATGCTGCCAAGTGAAGCCCTGGTCGAGTAGGACCTCGACTTATCTTCACATAGATGGAACTGGTAAAAGAAAAGACCTAAGGAGCTCCTCCCTAGCCCATGTGAACCCTGAGGACCAGATCCTCAAATGACGTTAAAGTAAAAATAAATTAGTTAATTTGGGCTAACAGTAGTCTTAAACACCCAAAAGAAAAGGATAACCAAGGATTAAAGTAAACAGTATATTTCTTTAAAGCCTGAGGAATTATGCTTCCCAGACATTAGACTTAAAAGTTCATATGAGGGGCTGGAGAGATGGCTCAGTGGTTATGAGCACTGACTGCTCTTGCAGATTCTCAGCACCCACATGGTGGCTACAAACCATCCTTAACTCCAGTTCCAGGGGAATCCGAAACCCTCTTCTGACCTCCGCAGCACTGCAAGACATGGGTACACTCACTTACATGCAGGCAATACATTCATACACATAAAAATAATTTTTAAAAGTTCATGACATATTATTTAGAAAAATTCTCACTAGGATTTTGTACCACCCGCAGCCAAAGGGCTGTGTCGCGAGGGGTACTTGTTCCTTGGAGGGGTGGGACCTGCTGCAGAGGATTGGCTGCAGAGAGTTAGCTAGAGAGAGAACAGGGGTCTAACTCCTTTGATTCGTGATGTCAGTCCCGCAAGCAGTCCCACAAGCGTCAAATTAAACTACCTCTCCTCACCTGACTTTGGCTGTTTATCTCTAATTATTTCAGTAACACCACACCCAGCTTTCTACATTCTTTCAGGTCAACGAATTTACCACCCTTCCCCCAACAGATCCTTAATTTAGTTCAAGCTTGCCAGAAGCAGTTTTGGGGATTTATCACTAAGAAATCTGATCCACGAACAGTACACTGCAGCAAAGAACCTAATCAAAACTAGGAAGATAACATGGTTTATCAACTCAGCCCAAATGCCAAAGCCCTTGTGAAGACTTCCTACTTCCTATCCTGTGTGCTTCAAAACTTTTTGGAATTCCTTCCTATTATGGCCTGTTACATGTTTCCTTGCATGAAGAGTGAACATCTGGATGTATGTAACCTTGAGCCCAGAGTACAATTATCAAGATAAAAGCTTGGAAATAGGGATAGTTTCATGAGCCTCTAATACTAGCTAGCACTGTGCTGTAAATACAAGGTATTCATTGCTCTGTCACCCAGACTGCCTGCAAACTCCCAAGTGTCTTATCTCTGCTGCTTCGGTGCTGACATAGTGATTTAAAAAAAAATTGAGGGACTGGAGAAATGGCTTAGTGATTAAGAGCACCTGCTGCTCTTCCAGAGGACCAGCGTTGGGTTCCCAGCACCACACGGTGGCTCACAATCTCCTGTATGCATGTGCTACACATATATAGACTCGGGCATATGCATACACATACATATAAAATAAATAGATTTTAAAACATTAAAAAATTGAAAAAAAAATTTGTTTTTTTTGAGACAGGGTCTCCCTGTAGCCCCAGCTGTCCTGGAACTCACTATGTAGACCAGGCTGGCCTTGAACTCACAGAGAGCCACCTGCCTCTGCCTCTGTGCTGGGATTAAAGGCGTGCACCACCACGCCTGGCCGAAAAAAGTTTTTTTAGAAAAAGATTTTTTAATTTTATGCATAGGAGTGCTCTCTTTGCTCATAGGCATGTAAGTGTACCACGTGCATGCAGTGCCCTCAGAGGCCAAAAGATCCCTGGAACTGAAATTACAGATGGTTGTGAACCACCATGTGGGTGCTAGGAACCAATTCTGGGTCCTCTGCAAGAACAGCGAGTGCCCTTAACTGCTGAGTCATCTGTCTAGCCTCCTAAAACAATTTCTAACCAGAAAAAAGGTTCCTAGACAACCAGGCTCCCTAAATCAGCGCACTTCCTACCTCACTCTCATAGGACAGGGAAGGGTATGTATCACATGCACAACTCAGCATAGGAAATCCTGGATAACCATTTTCTTTCTCTTTTATAGAGCCTTTATATATGCCCATGGAAATGGGGTTAAAAACCAAGCATTGACCTGACAGCACTGTTAGGAAGACAAATACTGCCAAGAGACCTTTTGTAAAGTCTCACAGGAAACAGCATTACTTCACTTGCAGCTGTGGAATGGAAAGAGGCAGGGCTAGGCAGAAGTCAGTTCAACAAAGACTGCTCCACATCTGGTTCAGCAGCTTAGAATTTCATCACTGTTCCAAACCAGACCTTGAACCCAACAGACCTGTTCCCAGACTAGATGAAAGAGTAGGATTGTAAGGGCCATTAGCAATTCCCAAGGCCTGAGAGATGCAAAAAGGCTCCATATTTCAGTCTGCAAACCCTTCAACATTTTAGGAGTGGTTTCTAAATAGAAGTTCCCCAGGGAACTTCACCTTGAAGTCCAGGCTATTCTTTTGCTACTCTTTAAAAAAGCAAAAACAAAAACAAAAAAAACTTCCATCATGTCAACAAAGTTAAACCCTTGAGTCTTGGGGTCCAAAATTGGAACACTTCAAACCACACTCTTGACTGCTCCTGTGTCCCACTCACTATACTTATAAAGGAGCTTTCAAAAGGAAAAAATATTCCAAAACTGTTTTAAAAGGTCCCTTGCTTCTACAGTCAACTCACAAACTGAAGTTCATTCAGTTTCTTATATATTCTTGACAGAGTCAACTGAGTATTAGTTCCCATGCCCTTCAAGTATGTGCCTTAGGCTCCCCTAATTCTTGAAGCATCCATGACACAGTTAACCCTAATCCCTACCTCATATAAGGAACTATGCACAGAAGAGCTATGGGACCCAGTGGAAGTCACTGTCAGTGCCCAGGGGACTCATGTCTCCTGAATCTGAAACTTAGCACAGAATCTAGCATTTCTCAAATTCAAGTTCCATCACACCACCTTGTGTTTGCAATTCAGAAGCCTGCTTACATCAGACAGGGATATAGCATGGTGTAGAGGAAAAATACACAGGTTTTAGAATTGGACACCTCTGGATTTAGGCTACTTAATCCTACCACTTACTAGCTATGTGACACAGGCCTCCAATTCTAAGTCTATGGTGTACTACAGAACTGGAGAAAGGATTAAAAACAAAAATTGTATTAGAATTAGGTTCATGGCATGGAACGTTGTCTGGCACTCAAGACCATCAACTCACACTGTGACATCAAGGAATCTGCTTACATTTGATAGTGTCATATCCTGGGATCCTAGGGCAAAATAGGCCTTCTATAAGGTTTGAGTAGATGCAGTACTGAGCACATAGTGAGTTCTGACTACATGTGATTTCAAAATCTGAGTACTGAAAAGTAGAGGTGACTGCAGAGATAGCTAATAACTAACAGAGAACAAAACAAGTCACATTTATTTGAGCAATGTCGATGTCATTATCTAAGATCAAGAAGAAATAGTCCTGGGCTAGTGAGATGGCTCAGCATGGCAAAGGCACTTCCTGCCAGACCTGACAACCTGCATATGATGCCTAGGACACACATGATGGGATGACAGAGCTAACTGTTAAAGGAAAGAACCAACTCCCAACAGGTGTCCT